GGTTGTTGAGCGGAAGTGGTTCTAAGTTCGGAACATGTCGACGGGGCTGGAGAGCTGGGTACTGGACTTCCGTGCGTGCAGGAGGCGAACGATGATTACGGAGGCGACCGGGCTGATTATTGATCGTAGCCTTCCGACGGATATTGATGAACTCCACTCGCTTGGGACATCCGCGATTGGAGGCTTGGTGGTTACCACCGCAGTTGACACACGTTGGCTCGATGTCATCATCTTGCTCACAGGACGCAGTCGAGTGAGTTCCAGCACACTTGCCGCAGATAGTCTTCATATGGCAGTTTTTGGTGCCATGGCCGTAGGAGAGGCAGTTCATACACTGCGTAACATCACGATGTTGGGATTTGTAATGCTCCCAACTGATGATGACCTGAAACAGGTCCCGGATTTTGGATCTCAGAGCCGCTAGACTGGTGGATCCCTTCGTGAAGTGCACCAGGAACAACTGGTCACGGAAGCTGGTGTTGTGGTTGGAACGCCGGTTTATTGGGAACACCGCCTCAGGTTTGAGCCCAAGCCGCTCCAGCTCGGATTTAACCACAGCCGCCTCGAACGACGGTAATCCACGCAATACCAGCTTCAGTGGCTTGCTCGATGGCAGATCGTGCGTGAAGAAGTCAACGTTGTTTTCCTTTAGGAAACATCCTGTTTGATTGTACTCCTCCAGGCTGGAGCACATGATTTTGGTGCCGATGCTGCAAAGCTTGAAGTGAGGCAGCAGCTTGTGTTTTGCCAGTTCGGCACGCAGCTTGGCAACATCCTTCTCCGGCGTGAAAAGCGGGGGAATCCGCTCTCTAGCAGCGATGGGAACGACGTGAGCACCGCAAACTGGTTGGCTTGCAGTACCCGTTTTCCGGCGTCATCCTGCGACGCGCTGTGCTGGATTACCACCTTCTTTGAAGGGCCCGCTGCTGAATCATTGGTACGTTTACGCACCATTTGTTTCGTGTTGGCAAGTTGCAGTAAACTTGCCAGAACGCGCGAAGGTGGCGACGCTTCCACGGCGCAACGCGACAGCACAAACCGAATCGAAGCGAGAACTCGAGCGAAAAAGAAAACGAACTGAACAGCTCAACAGTCGAGCAAAGAGTCGACTTCTGCAAGCTTAGGTAGCCCATATTTATACCCAAAGAATGTTCCCCCTTTTACACAGCGCTGATAGCTGTCTCGGGATTTGCCCTCACAAAGCAATGATAATTAGATTTTATTTACATTCACGCTTATTTGGGTTTACTCAAATTCAGCGTTTCATTACTTGACTTAATTTTCATTTTTTTAAGCATTATTATTCACACCAACTATATCTACCACAATTGGTAGCCACCATCTTGAATTTCAAGATGATTTCTTCTAGATGACATCGATTTCTTTCTTCTAGATGTCAGCCCGATTCCAAAAAACCCACATTGATCGGTATTTGATAGTATTTCACAGTTTTTCTCGAGGGGGGGGGGGGGGACTTTATATACGATGCAGAAAAAATTGTGTTTTGCTGTGGTTAGCTGCATGCACACTGAGTAGATAGAAAGAAGATTGATGGCGATTCTGAAGATTTCCTGCAAAAAGATGATGTGCGATGCAAGTAGATTTGAGAAATGATTGAAGATTTTTAGAAGATTGATTCGCTAGTGTGAGATTTGTTGAGCATCTAGAATTGAGATTTAGATGTGTCACCCCTCTCGGTTTTTCTGAACCAAAGCTGCCATCTTGGATTTAAAGACGGCGTGACATAAATTTTCGGCACCTACGTCTCATCCCCATTCTGAAAATAACCATATTTTAGGATATGTGACACTTTTCCGCAAATCGGAAGCCGCCGTCTTGGATTACAAAATGGCGTCGGATATCGATTTCCGGCTTCTAGACGTTACCCTGATTCTAAAAAAACCGTTTGTATGGGTTTTTGATAAAATTTAATACTTTTTCTCAAACCGGAGGCCGTCATCATGGATTTCAAAATGGCGTCGGATATTGATTTCCAATCTCCAGACGTGACCCCGATTCCAAAAATATCCATATTGATGGGACGGCATCAGCATTTCCCATTTTTTCTGAAATAGGAAGCCGTCATATTGGATTTCAAAATGGCGTCAGATATTGATTTCCGGCCTCTAGACGCCATCCCGATTCCAAAAATACCTATATTTATGGGTATTAGACAGTACTTCCCACTTAATCTGAAATCGGAAGCCACCATCATGGATTTCGAAATGGCGTCGGATATCTATTTTCATCCTCTAGACATCATCCCGATTCCAAAAATTCCTTTATTGATAAGTATTTGACAGCATTTCCCCCTTTTTCTCAAATTTAAACTTAAACTTAGATTTCAAAATGGCGTCGCATATCAATGGATCACATCATTCGAGCAGTTAAAAATGACGTTTCCTACCACTCGAACTTCAACGTGGAACAATATTTTGATATTTTTTCTTCTACAACCTCGAGAAAATAGGGTCTTATTTGTTATATGCTTGAAAAATCTGGAATTTATTGTTTCATTTCCGTAAAATCGCTGGTAGAAGGTTGTCGCAAAACTGCTCGACAATATGATTAATTTTCGATCTCTAGACGTCACCCCGATTTAAAAAAGTACCCATATTGATGGGTAAACAAACCACCCGACAGTAATAAATTTGACATCGACGTGCACAGATCTATGCGCATACGCTTAAATGAACCGAATGAACAAGCAACAAAAGTCATAAAAACTGCACGAATTTGGATCGAACAGCTTCGCTTCAATGCAAAAGTAAGTTCATTTGACAATGAAAGAAGAAATGAACACGAGTCAAGCCAAAACAAACAGCATGAAAACTGATCGAAAGTGGTTCTGTTGATGTTGACGGGGATCTGCTCGAAGAGAAGACAGAATGACTTTCAATTGAAAGTGATGATTGACAGCTTCATCTTTGCTTGACGATTTTCGATTGAAAGTGACTTTGTGGGGCCCTGGTTCCAATGCGTTAGTTCATTAGCTACAACATAGATCCTTTTAGAGCGCATTGTATGAATATTTACGCTCATTGTTCTCAAAACAAAAGAAGCGCTCCCTGCGAATTCCCTTTTTCTACGTTTATCCGTAGGACGAAGGAAATCTAATGGCGTTTCAATGCGTTAGGACAGAATTGAAACTCGTAGGACGAATTTAGCATCAAGAAGCAGTATTAGATTTTAAAGAATATCTTAACAATTTGTGACTCTTTATCAAATCCAACGGTACATATGGAACGGTGGAATAAATGTAGAAGTCATATTTGACAGAAATATTCCATTTCTTGTTCAAACCCGTTTGAAAAACAGAGTTAAAGCGCGGGTTGTGCTTAATAGGACCTATTATAGATCAAAAACCCTATGTGCCACGAAGTGAGGGTTCAAGTTTTTTTTTAAACTTTTTTTCACTGTAGGCCACAATGTATTTTTGAAATTATAGAATTGTGAACAATATTTATGTGAACAATTCTTCTGAAGACACTTTTGTGATTACGTCAATAGTTTGTACATAATTCAATTAAGTTCGTGATTTTGCCATCTTCGACCACATTGCACTAAAGCCAGTAGGAGTCAAAGTATGAACATATGCCAAAAGTTGTTCCAATCGAACCGTCAAAATGTACCGCTTTGCTCGATTGGAACAGTTTTTTTTTCCAGTTTTGTGGTGACAGTCGTCCATACTTTAACTAGAGGGCTTTACATTGCACCGGTGGTCATTATTTCAAAAGTAGAAGATAGTATACATTTAGGCGTTTACTTACATTGATTTGCCAGTTAATCCTTAAGTATCACTAAAATTGACAAAATATTACTTCTAAATGAGTTTATGACATTCTAAATGCAAGATACCGTCTTAATTTGTCCATTATAATATGCACACAAGTTATATTTAGCACAAATTATTCTTCAAAGCATAATTTCTCTCGTGATCCCATTTTCCCACGGTCTGTTATTGTGTGGAGTTAGTGAAACTTATGAATATTCACTTTAAAAACCTCACAATGTCGCAGTTTTCCATTAGAAATAGATGAAATGGATTATTCTGATTGTCATAGAAAAATTTCAGTAAATTTGTTTATGTTGTCTATCAAGATTCAAAAGGGTAGTTAAATAAAATATCAATGAAGCTGGTTTTTACATGAATTTCTTCCAACTATTTATGCATTCAACACGAAGCTTCACATTTTAGAGGAAAATAGATAAAATTAATAGGATCTCTGTCACGCAAGCCAATGATCCCACTGACCCCAGTGTACCTCTCTTTAAATTGAGCTGCAATATGTAGACAAGTATCTTTGTTTAGTGTATTGGATAATTATAAAATTACAAAATATCACAGTTTACACTACAGTATATACTACATAATAGATCTCAGTTTGTAATTTTTGTTTGTAGTTGCACATAGTAAATTTGCTGTTTGTCGAGCATTCGGTGGTGCTGATCTCGGCGATTGCTTTGAAGAGATTCGGCGAAAAACAACTTTGTGCAAGTTCCATATAAACTTTAAATGTCAGTTTTTAACCAAATGAGTCGAAATTTTAGGAGGATGATCAATAGATATGATGGATGGACAATCTATCGTCAAAATGACTTAGGTTCATAGATCACTCCACGTTCGCACCATCGAAGAATTTGCATTCGAAAATGTTCATGAGAGCAAAGCTTTCAATCAAAGCAACCTTGTTGCATGATGTTTCTGATATGACATCAAAAGATTTCAAAACATGGACCCAGGAGGACAGCATCCCACCTTACCATCCGTAACGTGCTTGTGGTAACTAATTTTGATTGATCATCATTTTCCCGTCCATCTATTAATATTTAAACTAACACACGAACTTCCCAATTCTAGCGCTAGTGCAGTTCTAATTGTGATGATAGTCATGATTGCCAACCTGCTACTTAACATATGGCTTCTGTACAAAGTGATGGAAATGGCAGATGAAACAAATCCTCATTAGCTTTTCATTAAATTCCTGAAAATGTGGGTCAAGTGAACTTGCCTTTTTTATTTAGTCCCTTTCTCTTAAATCCTAATCCACGTACATCCAATACCGTCTAGAATGCCAATTTCTTCATCAGCAAATACATGTGTTGATCGATCTCAAAGCCGTGCAGATTGTTAGCGTCCCCTTGCAACCTCATCAGCAGTCCCCCAAATGAAACGTACGCCGATAGTCTGTTGGCCGATTCCAGCTGTGCATCGTCACCTTCGATCCGGTAAACCTTTCCAAACATCACATACTCAAAACTGTCCGCTCTGGAGCCTTCGATTTCGGCCGCGTTGTACTCCATACTTGCTGTAATTGATGAAAAATCAAAATAGCAACTAGTGGAAGGAAATTCAAACGGACTGGGCTTCTTACCAGGGGTTCCATCTTCGTGGAGGGTCGTGGCTAATACCAGGCGAAATTTATCCCCCAGCTCCATCGGGTACAGCCACGAGTTGATGTCCAAAATCAGATCCATTTTGAACGACTCTGATTCGCAGTGCAACCTACTGGCACGATCGAATTTCTTACCTTCCGGATCCATATCCTTGACGTTGAAGATATCCTCGAACAGTATTCCGGACATCGTAGATCGATTCCTATCTGCTTACTTTCACAAACAAAATTGGTAACGTGCAGCGATTGAGGTAGTTGGGATAAATGCGCTAGTTATGTCTCACGCTAGCAAGAAAACAAGAAAATGTATTGCTGATCCGATCCTAAGATCCGGCTGATCCATAGAAGCAATGCAAGTTACTTCTAATAATTTTGGCGGAGTAAAGATGAGGAAGAAGAGTAACTGTCAGTACCGCAGCTGTCAAACTGCTAGTGCTGTTGGAAAGAGTGGTAAAATCGGTAAAATAGATATTGCCAATAATTCTAGATAAACTTTTTAAAAAGTCCTATCAGCAGTGATCGATTCTCTTCATAGACTTTTTCTTTCGTTAATAACTCAGCTGCAAAAACATTCCCTGTAATGTTTTTACCCATTCACTGCGTTGGGTATGGCTACTATAAAGTTAGCGGGTCGTTTATCAACGTAAATAAAAATGTTTTAATGCGTTTTTTTGTTATTCGAGCTCGGATTTAATGCAATGGAAATATTTTAATAGATGTATTTTGTTAATATGGAAGTTTATAGATTTTTTTTTTTAATTTTTAGAGCAATAATGAATTCGACAGTGAGCATGCATAAAGGCCTATACGCGATGATCGATTCTCTTCGTCGATTTTCTCTTTTGTTAATAACTCGCTAGATTTAACGCTTCTCGGTGCGTTTGCTGTTGCTTTTGATAGCTAATACAACCTGTTACTACTCTGCATTGAACAAATTCTAGAAAATTGTTTCGCTTAGCTGTAGCAATGCAAAGAGAAAATCTATGAAGAGAATCGATCATCGCGTATTCTCCCTTATGCATGCTCACTGTCGAATTCTTGTTTTTTTATTCGTCGAATATTTTGTGTGTCTAAAATCAACAAGCTAAACATTGGATAAGGTCCTAAGTAACATTGATCGATTCTCTTCGTCAACTTTCTCTCTCGTTAATAGCTTGAACACATAAGCGTTTGTTGCGTTTGTTTTCAAATTAAACGCGAGAAATCATCGAAACAGTGTCAACATTTCAAAGGGGCGTAATTGGTTTTGTGAACAATGGCTATAGTCGTTGTTTACTTGCAAATAAAAGCTCACTTTTCCACATCAACAATTAAAGCTGGTAGAAGAAACAATCCTCTACCTTTTGGCGTCATTAAATTGTCATGTGTGAGCTTTTATTCGCGGGAAATCGACAGCTTTGTTTACAAAATAAATTACGCCCCTTTGAAATGTTCGCACTGAAAAGATATACACGGTGTTTCGCGAAAACCCATTAATGGGTATAAAAATACCCATTTCCGCTAAAAGTGCCCCTCCTCATTTTATGGGTAAACTATGGTTTACTCATAAATGGGTAAATGGGTGGTCTGTCAATAAATGGGTGTTTTTTCACCCATTTTCTTATATTGTGTTTGGATGAAAAAATACCCATTTTTACAAATGGAGGATGTAAAAATGTTTTTAAAACATTGAAAATAAATGCAGGTGTTCCGCTCAAATTTTTCACGAAACATTATAATACAAATTATCCATTGTATTGACTTATCCGTAAGCCTCTCCAACGTTTTGGATTCTAACATTTTCCGGAGATCGTTGCTGCGGACAGTAACTGTTTGCATCGAGGTTTGCATTCCCAATGAGCCGGTGACGGAAATGAGACGATACAATTTCGAAGTGTTTTTTCACCCATTAATGGGTAAAAAATATACCCATTATTCAACCGTAAACTGATTCTTTAAATGTGTATTTTTTCACACATTTTATGATTTCAAAATTCCCCCATTTTTTGACAGCTGCATACATGGTTTGAAAATGGGTAACTATAGTTGACGAACACGCTATTTCAATACTACCAAAATTTGGGTAGAATCTACCCAGTCGGTCAAAACTGAACCTACCCAAAAATATGTAAACTATGTTGGGAGTGACAACACCCAAAAACCGACATGAATGACCATACAAGGTACCATCAAATTTCTGATCAAAGCACAAAACTGACATCTGCCGCCGTGTTCGCGAAGAATGTGTATTCTATGGTTTTGACAGATGGGATCGCTGCACATTTGAATCCACCGTTACACAGCAAAAAAAATGTAATATCGATCAATGTAATAAAAGCTGATGTATGAAATAATGGTGTAATAACAAAAAGCAGATACAATATTACCACAAACGAAGTGACAGACGGAGCGGCTCGAAAACTTTTTTGACGCACCTGCTATTACAATTTTTCAGTGTACTACATGGCAACACCACTTCTACTGGATTATACCACATGGCAACACTACTAATGGACTGTACCACATGGCAACACTAAGTGTACTAGAATGTTTTGGTTCTATCTCTTTCACTCTACTCTAAACTGAAATCATAAAAAATGACAAAAATAAATAATACACTCTTTGCACACTGTCAAGGATCATATTGCACACAAAATCAACTATGTTCAAATCAAAACAAAAATACTAGCCCATCTGGTGGCTGATGGCACAAGCTTCTAAGAAAATTCTATTACACAGCAAAAAAAGTTGTTGAATATTACATCGAAACTGATGCAACCAGGTCAATCCATCGGTTGTGTAATATCACATTGTACGATGTACATCGATTTTGCGAACAAAATTACATCCATTGATGTAATATTGTATCTGCTTTTTGCTATTACATCATTATTTCATACATCAGCTTGAATTACGTTGATCGATATTACATTTTTTTTTGCTGTGTACAGTGAACCAGATAATTTTAATTGATTTCTTCGCCAGTTAGTCATCTGTCACTTCGTTTATGATATCACATCAATGGATGTAGTTTTGTTCGAGGTTTTGTTCGCAAAATCGATGTACATCGTACAACCATAGAGGTAACTCTAAGACCAGATGGTCCCGAAGAAATGTGCTCAACTTTTTGGCTCAGCTCTGGTACTATCTTCGGTCCCAAGCTAATCAATTCACCCCTCGAAACATAGCAAAATCAAATAACCCCTCATTTTATCTGTCAAACTTTCATAGCGAATCAAAACAAACATAGTCTACTACAAGAATTTTGACTAGAATGGGATGCGTTAATCGATTTGCTTGGGACCAATAGGCTAGTCAAGTAGTGAGCCAATTTAAAATCGTTAGTTTCGAATTGATTGTTGGTACAACGTTATATCACAAACGAAGTGACAGACGGAGCGGCTCGGAAACTTTGGTGACTAACCTGTTATTGCAATTTTTCAGTGTACCACATGGCAACACCACTACTACTGGATTGTACCACATGGCAACACTACTACCAACAATCAATACGAAACTAACGATTTTAAATTGGCTCACCACTTTAGTAGCCTATTGGTCCCAAGCAAACGATTAACGTACCCTATTCTAGTTGAAATTCTATTACTACACTATGTTTGTTTTGATTCGCTATGAAAGTTTGACAGATAACATCAGGGGTGTGTGGATTCATGCAGAACATGCAGGGGTGCGTGAAATAGCTTGGGACTGCTTGGGACCGTTGTTCTGGTACTGAGTGAGCCAAAAATAATAATGATATTCTTCGGGACCCAGTGGTCTTAGAGTTACCTCTATGCTACTACTAGATTGAACTAGCATTTTCACCAAATGTACTAGAATGCTTTGGTTCTATCTCTTTCACTCTACTCAAAACTGAAATGCATTAAAAAATGATAAAATTATACGAACTCTTTGCACACTGTCAAAGAATCATTGTACACAAAATCAACTTTGTTCAAATCAAAACAAAAAAACTAACCCATCTGGTGGATGATGGCACAAGCTTCCAAGAAAATTCTGTTACAGTGAACCACATTATTTAAATGGATTTCTTCGCCAGTTAGTCGTCTGTCACTTCGTTTGTGGTTATATTACACAACCGATGTATTGACCTGGTTGCAGCAGTTTGGATGTAATATTCAACAACTTTTTTTTCTGTGTATGGATTCTCGATAAACACTGATAAATTAAACTATTCCCATTTTGCCTGAATTTAATCAATTTGACATTAAACTCAGTTTAATCATATCGAATGATTAAAAATTACTCTCTATGTAAAAACTAATCGTCTGATATTAAACCCAGTTTAATCATGGTTGATTTGATTGAAAATGATCTTTTTTGAATAAATTTAAATTATTTTTGATTCTATTTTAATAATTTTTTATTGTATATTAATATTCAAAAATAAATAAAATTTAATACTGGAAAGATTATTTCGAATTTAATCATGCATGACTACTGCCGAAGTAATCATGGGTCGGACTCAATAAGGTGAAGCAGGAATCTGCATACTTTTTAAGCTTTTTTGAATTAATTTCTCTTTGAGTGAAGAGTTAAGTTCAAGTTTCATGTCGGTTTGTCGGTGGTGACAAGTTGACAAAATGGACAAAGTCGATCGGATTCATGCCGATGTTGTCTATTTGTCAACTTGTTACTCCCAACACAGTATACCCATTTTTGGTAGGTTCATTTTTGACCGATCTGGCGCAGAAGTTTTGTACCCAAATTTGAGAGTTTTGAAATAGCGTGAAGAGAATCGATCAAAACAGGTAGGACCTTTTGAAATGTTCATCTAGAAATGGTAAAGTCGATAAGTAGAATCGATCAAAGTAAATAGGTCCTTTTGAAATTTTATTCAATGTTCAGAAATTATTAGAAGTTATCTGAGAATCAGCAGGATCAGCAATATATTTCCTTTTTTCTTACTAGTTTCCCATCTCATAATGACACCGGATCTGAGTCTCGACTTCGAGACCTCTGCTCAGCAGCACTATTCGGCACACAACCCGATCGAACAGTACGTCCTGCTGTCGAAGAGTGCCAAGGGAGCCGCTTGTCTGGAACTGATCAAACAGGTCCTGGAGGCACCTGGAGTGTACGTATTTGGGGAGTTGCTTGCGATGCCCAACATTGCTGAGGTAGGTTCAATTCGTAACATTATATAGGTTTAATCTGTCAACTATTAGATGGGATTTTTCAGCTGCAAACTGGTCCTAGTGCAAGCTACTTCAATACGCTGCACCTGTTTGCCTATGGGACTTACCGGCAGTATTTGGAAAATCAAGCTCAGCTGGTTCAGCTTACTCCGGTGATGAGAAAGAAACTGCAACACCTGACAATAGTTTCACTGGCCATCAAGACCAAGTGCATCCCGTACAAAGAACTGCTGGAGGAACTGGACATCAAACATGTTCGCGATCTGGAGGATATGATCATCGAAGCCATCTATGGCGACATCATCCACGGAAAGCTGGACCAGAAGAAACAGCAGCTGGAAGTGGACTATGCTATCGGTCGGGACATCCGACAGGGCAATGTAAGTGAGTTGGGTAACTTTCTGGAGGAGTGGTGTGACTCGTGTGAGACAATACTGGCCTGCTTGGAGAATCAGATCCATCGGGCCAACTCGGAGAAGCAGAAGCGCATCAAACACAAGGAAGCAATCGAACTGGAGGTGATTATCGGTCAAAATTATTTGTTAGAACCAATTAATGAATCTTATCCGGCATTTTTAGATTACTAATCTTAAGAAGCTGATTAAGGTCCAAGGCGGCAACGATTCGGATGAAGCCATGGCGACTGATTCCGGCCGCGAAATAACGGCTTACAATATGGAGTTGCGCAAGAAGTCATCGAAATCAAAGAGCCAGAAAGTGAGCGGTAAGTCGTGGTTTAAAAATTTCTGATGAGAATAATTTCCCGCCCCCCGACGTGTGCGTGTGTGCTAGTTCTCTTCCTTTGCTAACAAACAAACAGACAAGAAATGGATTTTGAAATAGAGCTCAGTTTATACTTACAGTTTCCATTTAGACAAAAATCATTTCTGATTTCAACATAAAGGGCTTTCATTTCTCACATGTTTTCGGTAAATGGGCTTTCGGATTTGTTCGTTTTTACCTGCCACTAATGGATGACGATTGGCTGAAAGAAATGTCCCTAATGATACCTTTTACACACATATATAGGTGCGGCCAAAATGCTCTCGCGACAGATGCCCTAGAGAAGTGATATATGTACCCTACATTATGAGTTTGTGCGTATTTTCCGTTCGTTTCAATCCCGATTCGGTACGTTTAGTTTGATTGATACCAACAACCTCTATTTATTGCGAATAAAATTGAAATAGTGACTAATTTTGTGTTATCCTTCTTTTTTTTTTGTTTTGAGCAAAAATACTTTTCGTGCATGTTGATATTCCATTTTATTATTATTGATTTATTTTTATAGAAGATCAGTGAAAGAAACATCCTTCTGCCACTCAGCTATGAGGTTCGATAGCTATGACATTTTGAAGTTAATAAAATTTTCTTTTTTACCGTTGTTTGATCAGGTGTGTTTCTATGCAAGAACATTATAAAGAAAGCAATTTTGTTACTGGAAAGCATGCTTGGCATGCACAGTTGTACACATCAACTGCACATTTGTTAATAACTTTTCACTCTGTTGTTGAAATTAGTTAGATTAGGATCATTGCTTACTATAGATATGCAAAGAGTAGGTAAATCTTATCATTTGAATCATCACCAATGTATTTTCACACTTTAAGTCCGAGATGTGTAGCGAGCACTAAATCCGTTGGATTCCACCTTTCGGTGGAAAAATGTGCTTATACTCACATCTGTCCGATGAACCACCATGTACTCCGCTCTCCAATCAGCATTGATGAAAGAATCATGCCCTTCATGAGGTCTATCCGCATCCTCGGCCTACGACTCGATAGGCATCTAAACTTTGTCGACCACTTTAATGAGGTGAAAAAGAGCTGCCAAACGAGGATTGATTTACTCCGAACACTGGCCGAAAGACACTTAATGAACAACCGTGCTATTCGTATGCGTGTAGCAAAAGCGGTAGTTGATTACAGACTGACCTACGGTTTAGAATTGAACTAGCCTGGCTGCTGATAGGTTGATTTCGAAACTGGCTCCAGTGTATTATCAGGCGATTATGGTCACATTAGGTCCTCTCCCATCCACCCCAGGTTGGCAGCCAGCGTGGAGAGTGGAAGGCTACCTTTTGAAAGGTACATATTTGCATCTGTTTGCAAGAAAGCGATTGGCTTTGCAGAAAAGACTACAGGGACAAGTGACGGAGTGTCCCTCCTCATGGAGGCGAACGATCTCCCGAATAATACCGCCAACCTGGAGCTCCCCATGTAGCCAGGGTCCACTGGCGATAAAGAACAGCTTCCGGGCGGGAACCAACTCCCCTGCGCTAGTGAGAACAGTAGCCGATTTACATCGATCCAAATACAACAATCATCAAGTACGATACACCGACGGATCCCGAAGTGGCGGTAGAGTTGGTATTGGAATTTCCGATCCGGAGCTGTGTACCTTTTACCGACTACCAGACCCCTGCAGCGTTTTCACTGCTGAAGCAGCCACCATTCTCGTAGCTGCCACCCTACTCTCCAACAATCCGATCGTCATATAGTCAGTCTGAAACAGCTAAACACCCTTGGATCCAGGGTTTCCAGCAGTTCGCTCCTAAGGAAACAACCTTTGTCTGGGTCTCCGGACACTGTGGGATCAGAGGTAATGAGCAAACCGACCACCTGGCGGCATCCGGAAGACAGTTCAACTTTTACACCAGAAAGGTCCCGTCCCAGGACATAAAGCGGTGGATCACAATCACTATATGGAACTGCTGGACTAACGAATGGATGAGATCTCGAGACTTATTTATCCGGAAGGTAAAATGGGATACCAGGAAATGGGAGGATCCACCTGAACACCGACTTCAAGTCATTCTATCCCGGTTGAGAACCGGCCATACCAAAGTCTCCCACAACATGGGAGGCGGAGGCGGATTCAGACGATAGTGCGTTACGTGCAATGTTCTATTTACAGTGGAGCATTTCTTATGCGAATGCCCCCAGTACCACGGGCCCCGTTCCCTTTACGGGATCTCAGGCAGCATCATGGATACCTTGAGGGATGACCCATCCAGCATCGCTGCACTTTTCTGCTTCCTTCAGGAGGTAGGTCTGATTAACCAAATTTGATCTATGAACACCCAAGCAACGACAACGGACAATGATCCGGACCAATATATGGACTCAAAACTATACCTCGGCAACAAATACTGACTCGGACACGGATGAACGAAGATATCGAACCAAACAAAGCACGTACAAGGACACGGAAATGGGTGAATGACGGCACTACGATTATTCAAAAGGACAGTAACATCGGTAGCATTAAAGGAAAATTTCCAACTCTGAAATAAAAAAACTCTGTTATTATGAAGACTCCCTTCTGGAGCTCCCGCCCATCTCCTAACTCCGTAACCTCGGGGTTCTCTTCTGGAACCTCACCTCCCCTTCATATTAGCTGTGTGTAAATCTCTCTAATAAAGCAAAAAAAAAAAAAAAAAAAACAAAAATCCACAGATTTTAGGTTAAGGAGAGCTGCAAGAAAATTTAGATAATAATTCCAATGAAATCTAATTATTCATATTGCTCAAAGGTTCCAAGCAGAATTTTAAGCTAGTTTAAAGATAGTTTGAAAAGAATTCCTTTCAAAGAATTTGGAAGAATCTTCAAAAAGTTTAGGAGTGTGAGAACACTTCTATTATATGTCCAAAGAAACTCTGAGTAGTGTGTGCCAAGAGATTCTAATGAAAGTTCCAAGGGAATTCTAACGAGAGTTTAGGATTTTAAGATAATAGTTTTCTAAATTTAAAATGCAAGATATTTTAATTAATTATATCTAATTAATTCAAGAGATTTCCAGAAATATTCCAAGCAAACTGTTGTAACCGACTGTTACAAATTGTTAGTATTTTTTAATTCGGTTTATGGTGTTCGATTCAAATTAGGATTAGTAGTAGGGCTAGTGAATGTTTGTAAAAATGTACATACTTTCAATCAAAAGTGATAGGTTAGTAGTAAATTTGAAATTATATACAAAACAAGTGGATTGAATCGCATGAAAGCCAGTGGGTGCAACATTTAAAGGGTAACGTAGGCCAGCTGGCGAAGTGGGCTAAAATCTACAAAGGTGGTAATAACAATTGTTTAAAATCCCCCTCCCCCCACCCTACAAGCAGCAACAAAGAAGCTAAAACAAGGCCCAAATTAATAAGGAAGAGCGCCATTGCTCAGAAAGCTACAGGTGTTCGTGTGCAGAAGAATAAAATTCAAAGTGTCCTTAAAAGTTAGAAGTGAGTGGTATCGTGCGGGACCGAAATCCGTACAGCACTGAAATCCGTACACCCTGTTGAATTTGTTTATTTATATGCATCATAACAATGTAAATATTAGACATGAATACATATTCATGTTCATTCATGCATTAGCTTAATGTTTACGTCAACAATTAAGCAGCATGTCATGCAATTAAAATAAGAAAAATAAAAACCTTAACACGTGTCGGGCATTTCTGTCAATCGGTTGCGTTCTTAACGATTTTCTAAGAAAATCTCTCGGATTTACTTCAGTTTGTTAAGCGTATTTCAGTGATGTTTGCGAGTAGTTTCCTGAAGGTCGATCGAAAAGGTTAGTGTTTATCGTTTTATATTTCAATTCTAAGCAATGGATCGTTCATATGGTATTTATTTATCAAAATTAGTACTGTACGGATTTCGATCCATATATAACAGCTGATTCTAAATCCGTACACTTGTGCATCACTAATGACGATTCTACTTTATCCAATGTTTTTCAGCAGATCATGGAAACTAAATACACGCCGGAGGATTTGGAGAAGACTGTGGCAATGATGCGTGCGGATAAATCTTACCGAGAAGCATCCAGGGATTTTGCCGTTCAATTCACCACCATAAGAGATGCCGTATTGAATCGCTACTCTCTTATTTTATTCGTATTGTAAACGTTATATTATTAATATCTTTTAATGAAGAGCGTCAAGAACCAGCCGAAAAGTAAAACAACGCAGCTCCCCTACAGGATATCACCAACACGCATATACAAATACAGAGAGCAGACAGAAATGGGCCAGAGAGCATTCCCAGCAGTAGCTACCAGCGAGGAATGACCGGAAATACACATGAAAGTAGTGCGGGCGAAAATTGATAAAGAGAACGCGAAGAAACAAAGGATTGAGGAACGACAAAAGAAAAAGGTTGAGCGAGAGAGGAAGAGGAGGAAGAAAAGGAAGAAGAGCAAAGAAAGTTCCCTAATAAACAAATACCATGAACGAACTTTATCCCGGATGGGTAAACTTTCCCACAAATGGTTTGGATGACACCCCGAACACGTCGTGAAGCTCTCTATTATGGTTATTTTTATTAGGGTTGGAAGCAAGAAAGCATTATAACTTGAAAAGGCAATTGGAAGATTGCCGTAAAAGCTCAACGCAGATGTCGCCACTGCATGATGATGATAATGTTGACAGACTGCATGTAAAATTCGTGAAAATTAGCGTTAAATCATAATTTTCATCAAGCCTGTGTAAAATCCTTCCAATATAACATTCGAATTGAAGAAGAAAACGTTTTTACGATCAGACTGATATGCATCTTTGACTTTTCCAGTTGAACTTTCATTAGATATATTCATTTCATTTCGCGGCTCCATCAATGCTGCATTGTAAATATGATGTAAACAGAAGTAAATTGCTCAATTACTCAAAATAAAGATGATTTGTCATCTTGTTATCACTTTGAAGACCATCTAGCACCATTTTATAGTATGGTGCGTGTTGAGTAAATCAGTACGTTTTCCGTCGATAATTGTGAGTATCAATATGTTTGCTTAAAAAAGGCCAAAATGAACATTTATTGAATATTGGCGTCCTATACAACAAATTCTCTATTACCACCAGCATGATACAACCTTTCATAAGTAAATAAACTTAATTTCCACTTTCATCTTAGTGGAAATCGCACATATTCACCATTTTCCGAAAAATGCAGCTGCGCAGGAGGTAACCTCTCGCTGTGGGTGCAAACTTGTTATGCATTATTTTCCATGAAAACCTCTCCGATCCATACCGAAATAAAAACAATTAGTTTTCAAACACGTTTTCTTACGCGATTCAAACAAAAGTTTCCACGAGAAATTATTAGTTTTTCTTTATGGACCGATTTGCCCCAAAAATCGTCTGTTTTACTTGGAAAATTTGGAAACTATCCTCCTTCTAGTAGTTCTCACTTCGAAAT